TCATATCTTGCCCTGTCCGACGTCTCCCTTCATCCACTTTTCGGTTGTCTGTCCCCCAGGGAGGAGGTCACACACAGTTCCATGTAATCGGTTCCCAGAACAAAGTATTCTTGCATTGAGGGAGTACTTGGGTGGAGGCCCAATGTCCATCGGCTACCTTAATACTAAACCTGTGAATATATGCACATAGATCTATTTCCCCATCCTCATATAAATATATTTACACAGGTACATGCCTTTATTTAGACCTCTATATATTGGGCATTCGTTTTGTGTGCTTTTTCTTTCTTCTTTTTAAAAAGTAATCCTGGCATTCTGAAGACATTCTGTTTTGTGGACTTGATTTGACTTTGTGCTGTGCCTCCCCAGGTGTAAAGTCAGGGTCGACTTGATATTGCAAGAATCACCCAGCAGTGCAAGTCCACTTCCCAGATCTTTCTTCTTGATGGGGTGCTCGTATGCATTTTAAGCCTGGCATAGCATACATGGGTGATTTTCATAGTCAGTTCTGGGATAGCTCCATGATTGTGTTAAGCCATAGTAACATGAGTCATCAGTGTGTCCGTTTGTGAGGGCGCAGTTTACCCGCATTATGTGCTCCCACTGGTTCATCATGCCAGGCAGGAAATTCACACCTCAGGCTTCAGCGAACCTTTGAGATGGAAGAGCCAATCCTGTCCCTCAGAACAATTAAAAAATGATTCCAGAGCCATTGATGACATTTTTACAAATGAAATCACTATGATCTGAATAACATCCTTGAAATGAAACGATGCTTTCATTTGCAATGTTCCTTCAGAGCCACACAACGTTCTGAAGGAGCCGGCCCAGCTGTCCTATTCCCCCCTTCCTTCCCACACCGCAGGTCACTGCCAACCTCCTGTCTCAGGATTTGCCTTTTTGATGCCTCATAAAAGCGGAATCCTTGGCTACTTCTCATTTTGTGTCTGTTGTTCTCAACTTAGCGTAGTATTCTTAAGGCCCATCATGTGGAAGCAGGGAGCAGGACTTCAGTGCTCTTTACTGGGAGAGTGGGACTCCCAGTGTGTGCACAGACCACTTTTGGATTCTTCTGCTGGCGGACACTTGGGTCATTTCCACCCCTGGGCGACTCTGAACCCTGCTGTGACCACCAGTGGTGTACAGTAGCTGTCTGAGCCCCTTGTACCTGCGAGTGGAACTGCTGCTTCATCAGACAATTGTGTTTAATTTCTCAAGGACCCACCAATGCTTTCCACAACCACTGTACACTGTACATGCGCATCAGGAGGCGTGGCTTTCCGACTTCTGCACATCCTCGTCAAGGCTCCCTCTCCCTTCTCATGATCGTGGTCCCAGTGGGCCTGCAGTGGTGGTAGGGTATGTGCTTTCGGTTTGGGGTTTTTTGGTACTTTTGATTTGCATTTCTGTCATGACGAACGATGCTGTACTCACTGGCCACTCTTATGTCTTCTAAGCGCTGTGTCCAGTTTTTACTTAGGTTCATTCTGTTGTTGAGTGGGAGGTATTCTTCATGCTCTATGCATCCAGAACCTTTCGCAGATACAGGGTGCCAAACCACCTCTTCCTGTTCAGTAGGGTGCCCTTCATTTTGTTGATAGTCTTTTGAGGCACAAAAGTGTAGCTTTGGGTGAAGCTCAGTCTCTATTTTGTATTTTGTTGGTGTTTTATCCATTTTCAAGAAATAGGTGTCAAAGCATTGGTCCTGGTTTGTTTTAGAGCTTTATGTTATAGTTCTTACATTTAGGTCTTTGATCATTTTGAGTTAATTTCCTACCTGTTTTGTAAGGTACATGTGGAGATCCCGCTGTCCCGCCAGTTTACGGCCCTGTTAGGTCAGACTTATTAGCGCGCACACTGAAACCCAAGGGACCTCTAGTTAGGTCCTGCTGGGTCGATTCTGACCCACAGAGCGAGCCTACACACACAGAATGGAACCCTACCCGGTCCTGCGCCATCTTCACAACTGTCCTGTGCCTGAGCCCACTGTTGCATCCATGGTGTCCGTCCATCTCCTGGAGGGCCATCCTCTTTTTCGATGCCCCTCTGTTTTACCAAGCCTGATGTCCTTCTCCAGGGACTGGTCTCTCTTGACAACATGCCCAAAGTCTGCGAGACGAAGCCTCGCCGTCCTGGCCTTTAAGGCGCTCGGAGCACAGTTTCCAAAACAGACTTGTTAGGCCTTTCAGCGTCTGTGGCCCTTTCCGTGTTCTTCTCCAGCCCCACCATTCAGAGGCATCCCTTCTCCAGCCTTCTGTATCCCATGTCCACCTTTCACATGCATGTGAGGCAGTGGAGAACACCATGGCTTGGGACAGGCACACTTTGGTCGTCAGAGTAACACCCTTGCTTTTCAATACAGTAAAGAAGTCTTGTGCAGATTTACACAGTGCAACTTTTTTGCTCTCTTGACTGCTGCTTCCATGATCAGTGACTGTGGATCCCAGCAAGACAAAATCTTCGATAAATTCAGCCTTTGCACCGTGTATCGTGATGTTCCCTATTGGTCCAGTGGTGAGGGCTTGGGTCTTCCTTACATTGAGTTGTAACCCATACTGGAGCCCGCAATCCTTGATCTTCAGCAAGTGCTTCAAGTCCTCCTCGCTTTTAGTAAGCACAGTTTTATCTCCTGCATATCTTAGCTTGTTCTCAAGCCTTCCTCCGATCCTCATGCCACATTTTTCTTCATGTAAGCCAGAGTCTCTGTTGATTGGCCCAGCATACTGACTGAATCAGTATGATGAGAGGACACAAGCCTGCTGTGCACTTTCCTGATTTTAAACCCTGTTGTACTCCCTTGTTCAGCTGTTAGTTGGTGGTACCGTGGTGACTCGGGTGATGCTGGAAGCTCTGTCACAGGTATTTCAAATACCGGCAGGGCCCCTCGAAGTGAACACGTTTCAGTGGAGCTTCCAGAAGGACCCAGCTTCCCACTCCAGAGGTAGGAGCCCTTGAAAATGTTATGCATAGCTCTGAAGCATTGTCAGATACTGAAAGCCAAAAGAATGGAAGTAGGATATTGTCGGAGACAGTGCCAGAAGCTGGGCCCCTTGGGCATGCGGGCATCAACATGTGACTGAGGAGGAGCTGATGTCTCAGAATGGAATCAACCATGAGAGGTGAGTCGAGTAAAACTTGTGTGAGTGTAGCCTTTGGGATCTTCGTTTCCTGATGGGGTAAAGAGAAACCGCTGCAAAAGTCTGCTATTGATCAGACGCAGGAATCTAGGAAAATTGGAAGAAGTGTTCAAAATGAAGTGGACCGCATAAAGATCGGTACCCTACACATGAGTGGACTGAAATGAACAAGTATTGGCCATTTTGAATCAGAAGATCATGATTTAGGATGCTGGGAGTGAAGAACAGAATCAGGAGGAATGGCATGACATGCAGTATCCAAAAGGACACTGGGAAATCAGTCATGAAGTGCAATGCTGTAAGAGCATTGTTCCTATCCGCCTTCAAGGAAATGCAGTACAGACAACTATTATTAAAATGTATGCACCAACCACTAAAGCTAGTGATGAAGAAATTAAAGAATTTACCAACGGCTTTAGTTGGAAATTGATCAAACATGCAATCAGGAATGCAATCATTGGCTTTCGGAATGCAAAAGTTGGAAAATACAGACTTGGCGATAGAAACAAAGCTGGAGATCGCATGATAGAATTTTTGCAAAACCAACAACTTGTGACAGCAAGTACCTTTCCCCAACAACACAAAAGGCGCCTACACACACACAGGCGTCTCCACATGGAATAATGGACTCCATCCGGGGGAGGAGATGATGGAGCTGCTCACTCTCAGCAGCTGAGCCCGGGCCAGCGACGAGCCGTGGGGCAGCCCGCCAGCCGCTCGTGTGTAAGTGCCGGTGGAAGCTGAAGAAGGTGAGAACGAGCCCACAGGAGCTGGACTATGCCCCGACTCTCTCCCACCTGAATTTCGAGAGCACCTCGAGAAGAGGTGTGACGTGTTAAATACTAATGACAGAAGACCCGATGTGCTGTGGGGAGACACTTCATCATCCATGAAGAAAGCAAAAGAACATTCAAAAAACAAAAGATCTAAGTGGAAAAAACTCTGAAACTTGCTCTTAATCATAGAGTAGCTAAGGCACATGGAAGGAAGGATGAAGTCAAAGAGCTGAATAGAAAATTTCAAAGGGCAGCTCAAGAAGACAAAGCCAAATACCCTCATGAAACGTGCAAGGACCTAAAGGGAAGAACAAGCTTACTCTATCTGAAACGGAAAGGACTCAAGGGAAAAAGTCAAGCCTCCAGTTGCAATTTTGAAAGATTCTGTAAAGTTAAACGATGCAGGAAGCCTCAAGAGATGGAAAGACTACCCTGTGATGAAAAGAACTACTAGACTCTACCGTTTCAGGAGGTAACGAGCAAGAACTAATGCAGGAGGAAGACGTCCGAGCTGCACTGAGAGCAGTAGCCCAAACACAGGGCTCCCGGCACCGATGGAAGGGCGACCAAGGGAAATGTTTCCCTGTGCTGTTGAAGAGCTGAAAACACTCACTTGTCTGCGCCAGGAAATCTGGAAGACAGGTAGTTGACCAATTGACTGGAAGAGACCCACCTTTGTACCCATTCACCCAGTTACCAAAGGTAGGTGACCGACTCAACAGAACGTTCTAATTATAGGACAGTGTCGATGTCAAGGAGCCAAGGTCAGCAGTTCAAAACTGCAAGAGAAAGATGAGGCTTTCTACTCCTGTGAAGAGTTAGTCTCAGAAACCCACAGGGGCAGTTCTACCCTGTCCTCTGGGGTGCCTTTGACTTGGCATCAACTCAATGGCAGTGAGGTTTAGTCTTGCTTTTTTTAAGTTACTCCAGTCCTGATGCTGCCCCCTTCTTCCTTTCGTCCAGTTTCTCTCTTGGTTTAACATGCAAATAAGGTAGCTAAGTGAAAGAATACAACTTTGTTGTGCACCTTTTACAGTTTGGAACCATGCAGTTACAGTAGGTCAATCTATTGCACAAGACCTCTTCAGAGTATTGAAAAAGCAAGGGTGTTACTTCGAGGACTAAGGTGCGCTTGACCCAAGCCATGGTATTAAAATTAACTTTTGTGAATTTTTCAAATGCTAATTCCAAATCGTCTTTTCTGGGTGTGTTTTTTTTCCCCTTCAAGTTCTTTATCTGGCCCCTTTTGTCCTGCTGTTTTTCTTGCACAATAATGTTAGGTGCCAGTGAGTCAGTTTTATCTCATGGTGACACTAGGGACAAAACAAGCCTAGTCTTGTGGCACCTCACAATTGTTAGGGTGTCTGAGCCTGTTACTGCAGCCTGCGTCGCCCATCTTGTTGAGGGCCGCCTTTGTCTCTGACCTTCACTTTTCGGAGCATGATGTCCTTTTCCCAGGACTGAGCCCACCTGACACTGTACCCAATGTGAGACAAAGTCTTGCTAGCCTTGCCTCTAAGGAGCATTCTGGCTGTACTTCTTTGGCAGTCTATGGTACGTTCCGTTATTTTTTGCCAACACCATAATTCAAATGCATGGGTTCTTCTCCAGTCCTTTATTCAGTGTCCCCCTTTCACACGCATATGAGGTGACTGACTTACCTTCGTCTTCAAAGTGGCCTCCTTTCTCATCAACACTGTACAGAAGCTGCGTGTGGCAAATTACCCAAGGCAGTGTTCCTCGGCTTTTTGACTGCTACTTCCAGCAGCAGATTGTGGAGCCAAGCAAAATGACATCCTTGACGACGTCCACTGTTCCTATGCTTGTCCTGATGTTGTCTGTTGTACACTGTTGAAAATGGAGGTTTTTGTTGTCTTCCTTTAAAGAGTTGGGGGTTTTCTTCCTTGCAGACAGTTAAATGAACTGGTGGATTGACAGTCTTTTCACAACCTGGGTTTGGATGTACTTTTAATGAGTTGTACACACACGTATGTATATGCCAAAATATTCACCAACTCAACCATTTTTACACGTATAGTCCAGTTACATGAATTGTAGTCTTCATGTTACGTAACTTTACTCATCAACGCAGTATCTCCTTTGCAAATCCTCTCCGTCCCCTCCGCCCTCCCCTCCCCCTGATACCCACTAATCACCTTGGTTTTCTTTGCTTACGTCAGTGGGATCACATTTTCAGCGACCAGCTTAGTGCAGTGTGTTTTCGAGGTACCTTATGGCCTGGTGGCATAATGGTTGTGTTGGACTGCTAACCACGAGGCCAGCAGTCTGAAACCAGCAGCCACTCTGTGGGAGGAAAACTAAGCTCTCTACTCCCATCGAGTTCCAGTCTGGGGAAAACCCACAGGGCAGTTCTGCTCTGGCCTGTACGGTCACTGTGGCTGGATTTGGCCCAGCAGTTAGTTTTTGTGCTCTGTTATCAGCGTTTCATTTCGCTCTAAGGCTGAGCTTAAGGCCTGTTTTTAAGCTTGGTTGTTGTAGCCCGAGAGAGGAGGCAGAGCCTTTGGGGTTCCGCAGTATTTTGTGGAGGTTTCCCCAAGGCCTCTGCGCTCTGGATGTGAGCATTGTTACCTTGTCTTCCACAGGGTATCCCTTGCACTGCTATTCTGCTCACAGCTGCTCGGCAACCATTGTCGACAAGGCCTTGTGCGGGTGGTTTCTCCACGCACACAGGCAGCCTGCTTTGACCAAAGTTTGAGAAAGCCTCTCAAGAGATTTTTGGAGTGTTTCTATTATTCTGCTGGCATCGGCACCCCCACAGCTCAGCCAGACCCCTTGCTGTGCTTGGCCAGGTGGAGCTCCGCAAACTGAGGCTACACGCTTCTCCTCGGTTTCAGAGTAGAGTTGGCCCCAAATGGCTTTGCCTGCCCTTTCCAGATGGGGAAGGACCAAGGATCTGCTGGCTGATGATTTAGGCTGGAGGTCACTGCTCAGCCTCCGAGTCCAGGCAGGGTGGCCTCCCACACACTGGTGTTCCTTCCAGGAAGAAGGGGAGCCGGGGAGCGTCCATCCTGGAGTGGAGTTGGGTAGAGGCCATAATGCCCAAGAGCTGCTGGCTGCATCCTGCACTGAGTTGCGTTCATTCCCACCAGATGGGGGTCCCTGTGACCCCCCTGTTGTTCTGGGGGTGGGGTACCCAGCCAAGTCCAAGGGCGCATGTGCTAGCTGCTGGAACACCCCCTTTTCTGGCTGATCTCTGCCTCATTCCCTGGCTCTCTGCCCTTTGCTGAGCCAGGGTTCAGCCCTGGCCTAGGCTAGCCTGTCCTCTGTGTCCCAGGAGCTGCAGCGCCTGGAGACGGAGCTAGGCCGACCCCCTGAGCGTTGGAAGGACACTTGGGACCGGGTAAAGGCTGCCCAGCGCCTGGAAGGACGGCCAGACGGGCGTGTGAGTAGAGGGCAAGCTAGGGAGAAGGTGGGCAGGGCTGCCGTCAGCTGAGGCCCTTGGCCCTGACACTGAGCTCCGCCCTCCTCAGGGCCCTCCTGGCTCCCTGCTGGTGTCCAGCGTGCCCCAGCACCGCCGCTCGCTGGGCGTCTACCTGCAGGAGGGGCCCGTGGGCTCCACACTGAGCCTGAGCCTGGACAGCGACCAGAGCAGCAGCTCCACGGCTTCCGGCTCACGCCAGGCAGCCCGCCGTAGCACCAGCACCCTCTATAGCCAGTTCCAGACGGCTGAGAGCGAGAACAGGTGCGCCAACTCCCATGCATGGCGGGGGGTGGGGGCACAAGCTGGGGTCGGCCGTGGCATCTTGGGGCCTTGTGGGGTGCTGCTAGCTGCTGGCCTCATGCAGGTCATATGAGGGCACCCTCTACAAGAAGGGGGCCTTCATGAAGCCCTGGAAGGCGCGCTGGGTTGTGCTGGACAAGACCAAGCACCAGGTGAGTGAGTGGGTGTGGCCTACAAGTGGGGGAGGGTGGGGCAGTGGGGCGGGGTGGGACTGAACCACCCCACCCATGGCAGCTGCGGTACTACGACCACCGGGTGGACACGGACTGCAAGGGCATCATCGACTTAGCCGAGGTGGAGTCTGTTTTTCCTGGCACGCCCACCATGGGTGCCCCCAAGAACGTGGATGAGAAGGCCTTCTTTGATGTAAGCCTGGCGGGCTCTTGGGCTTTGGTGGGACGGGGCTCTGCGGGGCTGTAGAGTCATGCCTGCCTCCCCTGCCCCAGGTGAAGACCACACGCCGAGTTTACAACTTCTGTGCCCAGGATGTGCCCTCAGCCCAGCAGTGGGTGGACCGTATCCAGAGCTGCCTGTCGGATGCCTGACCCCACTCCTACCCTGCTTCCAGTGTCACAGGCCCGGCCATGTTTACAGCCCCCCCTTGCCCCCTTGGCCCTGACAGTATTGAGGCCCCGGCCCCCCAGCACTGAGCTTGTACAGTGTCCCGCTCCCAGCCTGATGGACTTAACTTATTGGCAGGCCTGGCAGCGGGCAGCCATGGTACAGCCCCTTGGGGTATGTAAATAGTCCCTCGCTGGCCCTGGCCGGCCACACCATCTGTCCCCAGAATCAGAGTCTATAAAGAGAACGGACCATGTGGTCACACCTGCCCACCTGTGTGCTCCCCACCTGGGTGTCGGGAGCCCAGGAATGTGTGCCCTCGGCAGTCAGGCTTCGGGGAGCAGCCTGACCAGGGGGAGAAGAGGGTGCAGGGCTTGAAGCTCAAGGCTTGGACCAGCCTGTCCTCTACCTGGAAGGCCACCCTTGGGCAAGGACCTGGCTCTGGGACAGATGCCAATGGGGCGGGGGTGGGGGGGTTTAGGGCCCAAACATCCAAGGGTTCCAGTGGGGGTCTGGGGTACATGCTCACACAGGGGAGGGAATGCTGGCTTGATAGGTCCAGGATGCAGGGTCAGAGGCCCTCTTCCTGTGTGAGCCCCACACCTAGTACAGTACAGAGTGCCCGGCACACCAGCTCCACTGGGTCCTTGGCCTTTGGTGTTGGGACCCTTGTTGACCACGGCAGGGGTGACGAGAGGAGGGGCCCGAAGTGGCTTCAGGACCATGTGCTGGGGAGGGGGAATGGTGGGGGGTGTCATTTCACCTCAGCCCAGCTTCCTCAGGGCCAGGAGGCAGGGAGGGGAGGACTGAGGAGCACAGCGTAGCTCCTGCCCCCCACCAACCCTGGGGGAAGGTGGCGCAAAGGTGCTGGCACAGAGCGAACGACACAGCTGTTTATTGGAGTCAGGTTCACACCGGTGGGCGGGCCTGGACCTCGTGGCCGGGCTGCGAGGGTGGGTTTAAGGCAGTCGAATCCCGCAGCCCGGGTTCACGCCCCATGCCCAGGTGCATTCGGGGGTCTCCCCCTCCCCACAAGGTGGGTCCCTGAGGGAGGAGGCTAGTCACCTATGGCGATGACAAAGTGCAAAAATGAGGCTCTTCCTGCATTCGTGAAAAACTGTGGAAAAGGAACCCCAGGTGGTGGCCCTCGCTCTCGGAGCCCAGGCTGGAGCAGAGCCCGGCGGTGGGCTAAGGTTATTGCTGTGCTGGCGGGTGGACGGCTGGTCTGCCTTGGGCCCCGTGGTCACACAGCTGGGCCGTAGCAGAGAGCCTCGAGCCGGGCGTTCGACGGTTCCCACTGCCAGCTCGACCAATGCAGCATTTATTTCAAAATTAAATTAAATTAAATTAAAGATAAGTTGCATCACCCAGTGGTTTTCTTGATGGCTGCGCCGGGCCTGGTGGCAGCAGAATCACACAGGGCCGTTTGAGGTGGCTCCTGGTGGTGGCTCTGTCTTCCTGGGGTGGAAGGGCAGGGCTGGGGTCTCTGAGCCCAGCTGTTAAGTGCCCCCCACCCCATGCCCACTTGCTCACCTGTCCCTTATGGTGGCCACCACGATGGGCCCTGGGGGAGCCACAACAGCCACTGCCGTCGAGGTGACCAGTGGGGGTGCACTGTGCCCAGCCTTGCTCAGGGCTGTGGGGGTGGGCTCCGTTGTGGGGGGTGTCATCTCAGGCAGGGTGGCAGTCCCAAGGCCCTGGGATGAGGGGTCAGCCCTGGGTGCAGACCAGGCCCCTGTTGCTGGCTGCGCCCACCAGACACGTGGTCTGCCCTCTGTCTTCATGAGACTGTCTAGGGTGTGGGCTGGCCCTACCCTCCATGTTCTAAGATGGCTGGGCCTCCTGCTTTTGTGCACCTGGGGTCCCAACACCCCACACGGGACAGGGCATCCAGGTCGTCCCTTCCCCCTACTGGGAGCAGATGCTCACACCCCAAGAAATGGGCCCTCAGCCCAGATGCCCTTCAGAGACCATGACCCCAAGGCCCTGTTTTCCAGCCCCCAGCCTAGGACGGTGCCAGCACACAGGCCCTTTTGCTCCCCTACCCCCGCCTCACCTTGGGCTGGCCTCTGCAGCTTGTAGAGGAGTCTCCTGGCTGAAGCCCAAGCCAGCTGTCTTCAGCTCACTGCCCTCTCTCTCCGAGGACCTGCCACTGGAGCCTGCCGGGGGCACCTTCTTAGGGACACATGTACTCCAGGCGCTTGGGGGGGCTGGGCCGGCTGCAATACAGAGGCACAGAGACCGTTTCTAGAGCACAGGAGTGGCGCAGATAGCTGGGCAGACATGCTTCTGTCACGTGTGCGTGCATGTGAGCGCCGCACCCACTGGATTTGGGGCGCCAGCTGCAGGGCCCCTCCCAACAGCATCCAGCCACCCACCGACAGCTGGGACTCACCCGTTTGCTCTGGGCCCTGGTCTGGGCCACCCTGGATGTCGCTGCCATCTGTGTCCACAGGGGAGCTGCACCGGGGGCCCGACTCAGAGCTGGGGTCAGGGGTGAGCATGAGCTGAGCTTCAAGCCTCCCCCCGCCCCCTCCCCACCTGGGGGCGGCCCTGTTACCAGCAGAAGGGCTGGAAGTCGGTGAAGGTGGCCCAACCCTTCTCGGTGGCTGGGGCGGCGGGCGAGCTGCCAGCCCATACAATGGGCCCAGCATCCAGAGCAGCCCCTGGTGCCTGCGGTGCTGCGTGCTCAGGCTCAACAAAGGTCTCCCAGCCAGGTCCTGCAGGAAGAACACGAGGGGCAGCCTGGGGCCTGGAGCTGCAGGCGGCTGAGTGACTAGAGCAAATGGACATGGGCAGGGTGAGTGTAACTGCCCTCAGGATGTGAAACTGAAGTGGCTCTACCCCAGCACTGCCTGCTCGCACCCCCCGCCTGCACCCACCTTCTACATCGCCCTCCTGGGCAGGGACTTGTTTCTGCATGGCAGCTGGCATCAGGTTGGGGCTCTGGCTGTCCCTGGTGGGAGGGCTGTCACCCAGGGATGAGTCCATGTCCTGGCTCCTCCTGCTGTGACCACCCCTCTCTGTGACGCTGGGAGCTCCGAACCTAAGGGCCCAGGTGTTCAGAGGCTGACAGTGTCCAACCTCAGCATCCCTTCCCTAGGGTGGCCTGGGCGGAGGTGGGCAGTGGCAGGCTAAAGGTCAGGGATGGTCTGGTCTTGCCCTGCCTCCTGGTGCAGGTGAGGGCAAATGGGCAGGCAGGCGAGTGGGCGCACCTGGCTCTGGCTGTCACTCGGGCTGACCGACTCAGCTCGCCGTCCTCCCAGATGTCCTCCTCATCGTCATCAAAGGGCTGGATGTGGTCACTGCAGCAGGCTTCAAACAGTGCCACGGGGGGCTACAGGGGCACCAAGTGACTCGAGAGCTGGGGTGGCCTGGGAAGGACGGGTGCCCACCTGGCTGGGGCCCGGGGGTGGGTGGGGTGCTGGCTGGAAGCCTCAACAGTTCCCAGGCGCAGAGAGCCTCCCTCAAAGTCAGGGCTAGAACCAAGGGGCAGCCCAACAGCCCCTGCTGTGTGACCCCAGGCCCCACTCACACTGTCACTGGTGTCGTCGGCCTCCGTGCTGAAGCTGATCTCGGCAACCCGGTCGAAGGGAGCGCTGTGGGGACACATAATGTCCCACCTGTCCTCTTGGCCCCTGCGCCCTGCAGCTTGGACTCTGGACTGGCCTCTGCCAGGAGGTGCTCAAGTTGGGCGCTCCATCCAGAGGTGAAGGGACTTGCAGGGCTGGGCAAAGGTGCCTGGGGCCTGTAGGGCTCTCGGGAACCCCACCCACACCACCTCCTAAGGGACTCTGGGTGGGTGTGGGGAAAATACAGCCATGGGGGTGGGAGGATGGCCCCCAGTGGAGGTCCCAGGACAGGGGGCAGTACCCCAGGAGACCCCTGGTGCTGGGAAGGGGTCCTCCACGCACTTGATGTTGTCATCCTGGTCTGCAAACTCTTCATCATTAAAGCCAAACTGGTCCACAAAGCTGGCCGTCATCTGCTGGATCTGGTACTCAGAGAAGGCCTGGGGATGGGGGCCTGTCAGGCTAGCCTGCCCTGGGGGTTGCCCCCCGGACACAGCGGCCCTCACGCACCTGCTGGAGGGATAGCTCGTTGGGGAAGGTGCCGTCGAGGTCTTCATCCTCACTGGAGGAGTGCAGGTGGTGCACGCTCACCTGTAACAGTCGGGGAGGGAGTGCCAGGGGCCTGTAGGCAGCCACCCGGGCCAGGGTGGGAATGGTGGGGGTCTGCAGGCAGCCACTCAGGCCTGACAGGAGGGCTGCCCCTTCAGCCTGCTCACCAGGTCTGCTGTGTTCCTGCGGTTGGTTTCGGTCAGGGTCTCCTCCACGAAACTCTCCCAGCGACCCTGACAGTCCTCAGGGAGCCCTGCAAGGACACTGCTCTGCTTAGACCAACTTCATGCCCGGGAAGGGGAGCTCAGGGCACCCTGACCCTTAGGCCATGCAGCAGGGTCCACGGAAGGCCTGGCTCCACTCTGGCTGGAGGTGGGTGGGTGGGCAAGGGTGCACTTACCTCGGATGATGGCGCTGATATGGGCATGCACAGGGCCGCGCTCCAGGTTCTGCACCACCGCATTGGCGATGCGAGTGAGGTGGCCCATGTTACCACGCCGTAGGCCACCTGCTGCCCTGAAAGCCACACAGCCTGGTCAGCGAGCTCCCTGCCACCCTGTCTCCACTAACCCTCTTTCCTCGGCCCAGCACCAGGTGACCAGTGACCTCACCCCAATCTATGAGCACCTGGGACAGGCACATCCCCCCACCCCAAGTCCTGCAGCTGACCCAGGATGGCTGGACTCCAAGCACCACCAGAGCCCAGCTGTGGTCCTGGCTGGCCAAAAAATGGGCAGCTTTTCCTCAGCAGGGCCACCAGGTGGCCCAGGGTCATGGGGGAGAGTGGGCAGGCCTTGGTGGGTGTGACAGGACAGGTAGGTGTACCCAGGACTAGGGGGAAGGCAGCCCTCGGCCTCCGTACTTGCTCAGTAGGCAGAGCAGGGGCCTTCCCTTCCCTAAGCCCCAGTGGGGACGGAGATGGGGGTGTGCGGGGGCAAGTAAGCCTCTCACAATGGGAGGTGGACATAAGCTTTCAAGACTGGGCAGCGCTGCCCACCACAGTGAGGATGCTAAGAGGCCGGGGCAGAGGGGTGAGGGAGTGGGAGGCCCTTCCTGTTCAGAACAAACAGTGGTGGTTGTGGGGCCCAAGACAGATCTGAGCTCAGAAAGGTACTGGAGATTGATGTTTCCTCAAGCCCAACCTACACCCTGCTGACACCCCGCCACTCCCCCTCCAAGGCTGATACCCCATCCCCTAGAGCAGCAGTTCTCAACCTGTGGGTCGAGACCCCTTTGGGGATTGAATGACCCTTTCACAGGGGTCACCCAATTCATAACAGTAGCAAAATGACAGTTATGAAATAGCAACAAAAATGTTAGGGTTGGGGGTTGGTCACCACCACATGAGGAACTGTATGAAAAGGTGGCGGCATGAGGAGGGTTGAGGACCACTGCCCTAGAGAGTCCCTCCAGAAGGCCGGCCGACTCCCCAGGCTCAGTCACTGTCCAGCCCTAGCCTGCCTGCCTGTCTCGGCAGGGGGCGGGGGCGATCTCCCTGGTTAGCTGGTGGAGCTGCTTCTAGGGTGGGCCCCATCTTTGGACCACGCGTCTGAGGCTGCCCCTGCCCTGCTCCGAGGCACTCACTGTGTGTGGTCGTTGGCTTCCCAGGCCTCCAGGATCCTCTGGACCAGGCAGCACTTCTGGAAAAGCTGGGGGGATAGGCAGCATCAGGGCTGGTGTCAAGGTCTGGGACACTGCCTAGGCTTCCAGCTTGGGGTTCTATGGCCCACTGAGGCAGTGGCTGCTGGCCAGCTACCCAGGGCCCGGTGTGCCCCCAACCCTGGCCAGCCCATGTCCTTCCTGAATGTAGATCTCAACTCACACCCTGATCCAGCCCATTGCAACCAGAGTTCCTTTCTGAGGCCTGGTGTGTCCTGGCTCCAGCTGTACTGCAGTGCCCTGGGCTTCCCACTCTCCCGACCCACTTCCAGGGACACAGTGAGGGAAGGCAGATCCTCTAGGGGCATTTTCACAAGGCTGCACCATCTCTCTCCCTGCTGTGGCCCATCCCACAGGCTAAGCGTATGTGTGCATGTGCACGTGTGTGTCTGCCCGCTCTCACCAGGCTATGCAGATGTGTGTGTGTGGCATGTGTATGTGTGTGGAGAATGTGTATGTGTCATGCACATGTGTGGCATGTGCAGGTGTGTGGCATGTGTTTATGTGGCATGTACGTGTGTGAGTGTCTGCCCGGGCCAGTCCTGGTGCCACCTTTGAGATCTGCATCGGCTCAAATGAATGTCCGTGGGACCAGTGGCTGCAGAAGACACCCCATGTCCTTGTCCTATATCCTCACAGGCCCCAGTCTCAGCTGGGGGCCGGGCTGTTTCTGGGGGCTGCACTCACATGGGTCACCAGGGTGTCCTCGGGGCAGCCAGCAGCAGGCTGGGGGTCTTCAGGGCTGCCACTGCTGGGAGCTGGGTCTGCTTTGCTCCCGGGCTCACCAGCGGCAGCTCTCTCATCGGGGGCTGCGTGTGACAGAATGGCTGCCACGCACAGTTCCACTTGGAAGTGCAGGAAGTTGTTCCAGGTGTACTTGAAGAACAGGTCCTGGGGGACAGAGGCATGGGGTATGGGAACACAGGGTATGGGGACAGAAGGTCACAGGGGTGTGAGGACTGGGGTGCAGGGGCACAAGGTGTGAGGATCAAGGTGCAGAGTTGCAGGTGTGGAGATGCAAGGTGCATGGTTTCAGGGGTGCAGGGATATAGGGTACAGTGTCAGGGGTGTGGGGATGCGGGGTACAGTGTCAGGGATGTGGGGATATGGGGTGTAGTGTCAGGGGTGTGGGGACACGAGGTGCATGGTTGCAGGGGTGTTGAGTCGTTAAGGGTGTGGAGATGAAGGGGTGTGGACATGGTGCAGGGTGGCGGGGTGCAGGGCCATGGGGTGTAGGGGTACAGGGCCATGGGATGGAAGGACATGGGGCACAGGGTGGTAGGGGTATAGGGACATGGGGAGCAGGGTGGCAGGGACATGGGATGGAGGGGTGCAGGGACATGGGACACAGGGTGGCAGGGGTGCAGGGGCACAGAGTGGCAAGGGCATAGGGACATGGGGTGCAGGGATATGGGACACAGGGTCGCAGGGGTGTGGGGACCTGAGGCACAGAGTCAGGGCAGATGTCTGTCCCACAAAGTGGCATAGGACTAGAGGGCCAGCTCCTGGGCTGGTGTCAGGCTGGGTTAGGAGGCCGTTCCCTCTGGGTGGCTGCCCCACCAGCATGCAGAGCCTCAGCCCTCCACAGTGCACTCATCGCCTGTCCAGTCAGACCTTGCTCTATGCTCCACAACAGGATGCTTCATCATCCTGCCCACAGGCCACAGGGAGAAGCCTGGTCCTGGCTGGTCAGCGCTCTGCTCTCCTTCCCATAAGTCTCTGCATTCCCCCACACCCCTCCCGGCTCAGCACTCAGAGACCTCCAAGGGTCTGGGGACAGGGGGCCCCAAGGGAGGATCCTGGGGCATGCTGTTCTGCTGAGGGACCCCAAGCCCACAGACACTGTCATTTCTGGTGATCCTGGCTGGTGCAGGATGTGAGCCTCCTTGGCCCATGAACCCGGCATCCCCACAAGGGTAGTATGTCCTCAGAGCCAGCAGGATGGCTCACAGCCCAGTGTTCCTCCTCGATCCAAGCATGAAGGACAGAGACACGTCTGCACTCCCTGCCCAGCAGGAGAGCTTGTGCCTGCACCCTGCTTCCCACAGCCTTCTAGAAAAGAGTGGTCAGCAAGGTCAGCTGCCCTGCAGAAGCCAGGACCACACTCCTGCTCCTCAGAAGGAAGGTGGGGGGTACCGCTGCCCGGGCCCCACCGACGGTCCCGATCATAGCAGCCCTCACCCCTGCGTGCTGGACAGAAGGTCTCCCTTGGGGGTCTGCCTCCTGGAACTTTCCAGACTCAGAGCTGCAGTGGCAGCAGAGTTCTGAGCAGCGATCCTGACCTGCAAGGAGACTACTGTACACCTATGCTCACATGGTGAACTGGGTCTCACCAGGACAGACTGCCAGGATGGGGACTGCAAGTCCCATGCACACATACAGCAGGCTCTGCACCCACAGCCTAACGGCCCCGTGCACACAGCTGCAGCAGTGGCAGCCCAGAGATCGGGCACAGAACCTGTCTGCCACAGTTGGACCAAGCTGCTCAGCCACCACCCTCCCTGCAGCGGCCTGGAGAGGACCCAGCCCCGCTGTGGGCACAGCGCTCACCAGCAGCAGGTCCATGGTGTTGAGGCGACAGAGCTCCTGGTGGACGCTGGGTGCGCCCGTGTGCAAGAGGGCAGCCACAAGGCGGGCACCATGCAGCCGTGCATTCCCCAGTGGCTCCTCCAGCAGGCCGACGGTGGTTAGGATGGCGCTTTTCTGTAGCACAGGAGCCACTGTCGGCAGCCCACTGCACAAGCCCTCCTGCTGCAGATCCCATGAGCATGCCCCGCCCCCTCACACCCAACCTCCTTCTCCTCTCCCTCCCTCCCTGCCTCCCTGGCCACTCCCTCCCATGGGTTGAGGACAGGCTGGTAGTGGGGGCACCCTGAGTGACATCAAGGGGAGACAGAGTCTCTCAGCTGTGCTGACCCTTGGGCTAGGGTGGGCCTGGGGCGTCACTCATGCTCACCTTGGGCGGGCTGAGCAGCAGGCAGTGGAAATCAGGCAGCCTCAGCTCGATGGCCCGCAGCACACTGCTGCTCACGCTGTGGGGTTGCTCGAGTCCCCGAGAGACGGGATCCAGCAAGCCGCCCTCTGTCCTGTGGACCCAGGGGCATGTCACCTCCCAGATGGAGGGCGGGCTCTGCCCACAGGGAGCCTTGGCTGGAACTCCTGGGGCTCTGCACACCTTCGAGTGCAGATTGCAGGAAAGAGCAGCCGGGAGGGCAGTCTCACAGCTCAGCATCCCTGGGCTGGCAGCGGTCAGTCTACCCTGAAGCATTTCCAAGCTGCATTTGCTGTACAGGCTTCTTCTGGAGGCAGTCAGAGGCACAGGGCCGCCTCCGGAACCAGCACGGTGGCAGCTCTGTTGCCTTATGAGGCAGAGAGCTAGCTCTGCGTGCTCAACAAGAGGCAGGGGTGGACCTCTTCCCTCCCCCACCCCCCTCCCCACCATAGCTCTGCTTCCAGGTAACAAACTACAAAGTGGGCACCTAGGGAGGGGACCCTGACCACCCAGACCCAGCCCCTTTCCCACCACTCACTCTTGACCCTTCCGAACAAGGAGGCTGAGTAGAGGCAGAGGGGTGCCAGGGGTGTGGCCCCAACCCTGTCCACAGCCCCTCCTTGCTTGGCCATTCTTTGTCCCAGAGCCCTGCATGCTGCTGTCCCCCTCTGCCTGGCTGCCCTCTAGCTACCTCAGCCCTGGCAGCTCCAGCTCCAGGAGCCAGCTGGCTACCCGCTGTTCCAGCTCAGTACTTTCCACAACCCTGCTGTTCCCATGGCTTCGACGCACTCATCCACAAACAAGGACCATCTTTTCCCCAAATGTGTCCCTTCAGCAGCTCAGCTGGTTCACTCCCCCTCCCACGCCCCCACTCACTGTGGGCCTGTGTCCACACCCCAC